AGTGGATTGCTCCGATAACTTAATGGTTAAGAAATGTTTTTCTTTATCTTTAACACAAAAATTTTCATATTTGATGATTTTTCAAGGTAAAAAAATTCCTACCAAGAGATCCATAGAATCCTCTCTCCATGACTACGCCATGGAAGAAAGAAAGAGAGTAGAGAAGACGGTGAAAAACTATATTATTCTCCATCCCATCCTGGAACTCTTTATCCTGGAGTAGGTGGGATTTATAAAATGTTTCCATATTATGTTTTACCCCTGATGGCCGTTCCAAAGCTATTTTTACACCAGCCTAAAATTAAAAATTATAAATATTTAACAACTATCTATACAAAAGGGTGGTCCAAAAATACAGGGATTAGAGGTTTTCAGACTTTTTAATCGTTTTCCAAATATTTAAAAATCTCTCTGTTAACTTGTGCTGATGTGATATTGCCAGGCTATAAATTTGTTGCATAAAACGTGCTGGATCGACTCTTCACTTGGTATTCTAGACTGGACGGTACGAGTGAATGCATATATTGTACATGTTGTACAGGTTCGTTTCGAGTAGGGTGAGTAAACAGCAAGGTTTTCGAACATTTGACATAGTTTTACTCCAAGTCCAAACCGAAGCACTAAACTACAAATGTTAAAAAATGTTAAAAAATATATACTAGAGCAATTTTTTGAGTCATTTTAAAAGATAGTTGGGATTTAAAAACGCTAATCCTTGTTTTTAGGGCCAACCTGTAATTAGTTTTTACCTGGAGTATAGAGCTAGGAAAATGATGAGATGGATAACTAGTTAACCAAAGCCTAAATGCTGGATGAGGATCCTGAAATTAATTGTAAAATTAAATAAGACAAATATGAATTAAATTAACATGAATTATAGTTATACTGTTTACAAAAACTCATATTTTGGTTTTCAATGTTTTCAATGAAGCAGTTTTGAGTATCTGATAATCCATCAATCACTGATCGAAACACTTAATAGATTAGAATGCTTTTAGCAAGGAGATGGATTTCTTTCAAACTCTTTATCAAATTGTTTATCCCTGGAGGAAACCAGTTCAACATCTAGTTCTATTTCTTTTTTTCACTTTTAAACTGTTCTTGAAAATTTTAAGTTTAAATAACCATTTAAACAGACAAATTGAAATTGAACAAAAATTATTGACTCGACTTGACTTGACTTGACTTGACTTGACTTGACTTGACTTGACTTGACTTGACTTGACTTGACTTGACTTGACTTGACTTGACTTGACATATCTCTACCTGTTTGCAAATAAGTTCCTCCCAGAGTGTTGAGAGCGTGGGTAACCATGTTGTCGCTAGATGGCAGTTCTGTAGTAGAACCCAGTCCCCGCTCTTTATACTGTCTAGTATCAGCTGTTCAGCTGCACTACCTTGACCTTGTCCCAGGGAGAGAGCCTGTAATTAGAATAATTTAATAATAAAAATATATTTATTATTTATACAGGACTAGATAGTCTTGCAACTACATAATGATATACAAAAAAATATTGGATTTTTTAATATTTTAAAAGTTTTTTTTTTCTCCTGCCAAACCCCACTCCTTCTCGTAAAAGAGGGGAGGGAGTGTCAGTCTACTCTTATAACCCCTTCTAGACTCACGTATATTTTATTCAGTTCCTGCTTAAACACTACACCTCAAGGTTGGCCGTTTTAACTTTTATTCAAAAGCCTGTTTTGACCTATCCTAGATTAATCTCCTATCCTACATTAATCTCCTATCCTACATTAATCTCCTATCCTAGATTAATCTCCTGATTGTAGACTATAAATAAAGAAGCTAATTAACAAGATTACATTTTTATTAAATTAAAATTAAAACCGTAGTTTTTCAAATTTAAATATTCAATAATTTAATTTCATCAATATTTGGCTTGTCAGGCTGTTTTTGTCGTTTGGAACAAACTTCAAACCGATTAAGCCAATATTTGTTTTTGTAGCTTAAATGATCCCAAGGAAGGTTTATTGCATTGCAGATATCATCAGGTAGGAGTTTAAATGTTTTGTTTTTGAATAACTACGATAAAAAAATAGAGAAATCCACCAATGTAACGAAGAAAATCTGCGAAATTTTATGTTGTAAGTAATGTACGAAATGCTTGTAAAAAGATTAGCAATAAAAAGCTAAGATTGGTAAATCTAGTAAATTAAAAAATAAACATTGCTTAAGTTTATTTTTTATATTTATCCCAATATATACAGTTTTTGCATCAAACTAAAAATATAAACAATTGTAGTTTTCTAACTGCATTGAGGGGTTGTATACAGTATAAATATGTAAATATAATTTTCTTTAGTTGAATATTCTAATAGTTTTTCAACTACAGGAAACGATCAACAACAATTTCTTTGGGTTTCACAGATTTCTGAAGATTACAAATTTATTTTCATATTTCTTCTATAAATAAACATGGACTCTCATCTGAGGCAGATTTTTTTTAAAAAAAGGTCGGCTTGGTTTTCTACATTTTGAATTAAAGTAGATGATACCAATATTTCAGTAAAAAAAATGTTATGAAAGTCAGTTATTTAATTGTTATGAATACTGTTATTTAGTTGTCATGATAATCAGTGATTTATTTGTTATAATAATCAGTAATATAATTGTTATGAAATCAGTCTATAATGTTTCAGCTATATTTGTATGTCATATATATACGGTTTTTAGCCTTTATATTACCGATAGTTACGTAATAATTCTCCTAAATCCTTTTCTCTGTTGGTTCAGATTTTTCCCGGGAAATTCAAAGTTAACATTGAGAAAGTTTAATATTTAAGTAGCTACTCATTATTATACAGAACTTTTAACCTCAAACTTAAAATTCGCCCATTCTTTAGTTTTAGACTCTGGTATCCTAGTTTAGCTGCTAGCTTGTACAGCATATATAAAGGGTTAGCTTATACCTTTATATTGGTATCCTACTTTAGCTGCTAGCTTGCACAGTAAAGGGTTAGCTTATACCTTAATATTATCCTGATATCCTAGTTTAGTTGCTAGCTTGTAAAGCTGGTCTAAAGGATCTGCTCCAGAGCTGAGTACAAAGATGAGAGGCAAATCAGGACTATAAGATAAGCATATTTTTTTTCTCAATATTGTTTAATATTTAACTACTCTATTGTATTGTTTTCTCACCAATAACAATTAACATTCATGATAGAATTTTCAAAGAAATTTAGTTTTTACAATAATCTGATTCTTTTTTCCCTTATCTTAGCAACATGAGGTTGTAGACCTTTTATATTTCAATCTACAAACTCTGTTGGAAAAAGGATAGAGTAAATTTGTTAATATCTAAGGTTTATGCCATGAACAGATTGGAAAAGTTGAGTTTTAGCAAAAAATCTTTTTCTTTTTTAATAAATTTGTTCTATTGTTTTGAAACTGCCGACGCAACGGATGTTTTTGGTGGCTGACTCAATGGAAAATTTTGATAAAGAAACTCTTTTTAATTTTTTTATAAAAATTATGAGTTTGTATTTATATTGAATTTATAGTTGTAAGATGATATGATCAAATTTATTTATTTAGTTTTATTTAAGGTAAATGAAAGGGGGTAAAGGCAGAAGCTTAAACATTTCAGGAGTTGAACGTGACCAATACTAGCTTTTTCTGATGTCCCTGTCTCTAGAAATATATATTTATGAGATTTGGAATATAAATCAAAGTTTAAAGCTTTTCATATTCAACAAATTTGGAATGAATCTTAAAATTAGGATATTCCAGAGGAGCCTAACAATTTTAGGTACACTTCCATTATAATTTAAATATAATACTTTTAATTTTTAATTTATATTATTGATAATATAATTGTTACATCTGTATCATGTGACCATAATCTCAACCAATGGCAGTGCAGTATCTGATCTCGCAGGGCTCCGTCGGCCAATGAGTTTTGTTATAGCTTTGACACAGATTTATATTAATTTCTCGAGACAAGGACAGTAGATAGAACTAATATTGGTCGCGACTTGTGATTAGCTTCTAAAATATTAAGGCTTCAACCTATGCCCCCATTTATTTTACCTTAACAGTCCCTTTAAATTATATAAGGGGAGTACTTAAAACCAATCAATCAATTAGAACAAAAACATATTTTCCTAGAATCATCAAACACAGCTTTTATATCAAACTCTGGAGATTGGGTGAACTCAACACCTAAAAAATATTTATTTTTATTTATCAGAGTCCAAAAGTAAAGAATGAAAAATTACGACTTAAATGTTAAGTTCCAGCTTAAATGCCGCTCGTGATCTAAATTAAACCTTAACTATTATATAGCTTAAATATTTAACTCACCGCAATCGACGAGTTAAATATTCAATCTCGTATTCAACAAAATAACCAACCGTAGGGGATAAAATAATAAGTAAATCATTAAAACTATCAATTATGATTTTATCTCTTTTAAATTTCTTACTATTGCATATTGAAAAAAATTAAATAAGCAAATTCAATGATTTCAAGAAATAGTAATTGGGTTTCTAAATCTATATATAAATTTTGCTTATTTTTCTGTCTGTTTGTTTGTATTAAAAAAAACATCAAAACGGCTGAACCGTTAGAGCCCATATTTTGTATGGGATCTTACGTGACCCTACGGAAGGTTTATAAATATTCACAATTTTAAAAATGTGTACTTAAATTTTTTTTATTTTGTAAAATTATGAAAAAGCGCAAAAAATATTATTAAATCCGCAAACATTTTTTTTGCTGTTCTGTGCAAACAGAAAATGCTCACAGCTAAAGCCACAATTAAAAGTTGAAATAGAAGATGGACACGAAACGCCCTAAAAACCTATTTTCCTAATATTTTTGTGAAAACTTCGCAAAAGTCGTATAGAAATTCAGAAAATTATTATTAAAGAAAGAGCTACCGTGCCATTAACATGTCATCCATCATTGATCTCAAATCTGCTCTTGAGCTATTAAATTTGCTTATTTAATATTTTTCAATAAGTAGTAATTAAGTCTGGGATTTAGGGGATTAAGTTAATTTTAACCCTGAAATATTATTTTTCAGAACTTTTAAGCTATACTTAAACTTAACGAATTCTTTAGTTTTAAACTTAAGCATAAACTTTTAGTAGATTTCTAATCGATTTGTACCTAAGTGTTGCTCGACAAAGGCGCGGATTGCAGAGAGAACTTTATCTTTTCTGAACAATTTGACAAGAAGAATTTTTTCTAGACCTTCGAGGCTGGAATATACATCCGGTAGGTCGGCCAGGTATGGGGAATCTATTGTTAGTAAACAATATTGTAAACAATAACAATATAAAATAATGTTCACATTTCGTTCAGCTTCATTTTAAATACACAACAACATCCTCAATACACAACATTCACTATACATAGCAACATTCTCAATACACATTCTCTATACACAACAACATTCTCAATACACATTTTCAATACACAACAACATTCTCAATACACACCAACATTCTCTATACACACCAACATTCTGAATACACAACAACATTCTCAGTACACAACATTCTCAATACACAACTGTAAACCCACCAAGGATGTAGAACCATAGCCTAGTTCATTCAACCCAAGCTAAAACTTTATCATCAGTTGAGAACTGGACAAACAAATAATAATGATTTAACCCATTACCAAGGAGGAGAGGAAATTTCCAGGAGAACGAGATTCGAACCCTCGTGACCCTTATCTGGAGGAACATGGATAACGGTACTTTCGTCGGCAGAGAAAGCAAACTAGGCGTCCATTTTCTCCCCGATAAGGGAGTTAGTCTTGATGAAGTGTCAGAAGAGAGCGGTCGATAACAGCTCCAGTAGCCCCGAGAGGAGAATTAGCTCCATCTATGATTCCAGGATTAACTTACACAACCATACATACTTAATAAAATTCAACATTTTTAATACACAACCATATGTTTGAAAGGGTTTTAAAACTAATTATGATGTATATTTTTTGTTCATACTTTAAAAAAATGAAACTGATTCATTCAAAAATTTGCATTTTTAAAATTCAGATCACTCCCTTTTAGTATTTGATAAATATATTTATAGTTTTAAACAATCCTGAATTATAAAATTCCTTCCACATTTCGTTATTCTCTCTCACATGGTTCATTAAACCTGGAAAATAATACTTTTTATAAATATTATCGAAATGTGCTATTGAACCAAAATACATAAAAATCTAATTTTTTCAAGAATTCATCTGCACTAAAATCGCTTTAGACTGAATATCTTTATCGACATTTTTTTTTCTCCCTGCTTTAAAAGGCTTTAACAGTCACAAAACTATTCTAAAAAATGTGATCAATACAATGGTTCTTCACTATGAATACACACCAAAATGTTAAATTATTGAAATAGTCAATAAAGATTCACCTTGAAACTTGAAGAGTGATGAAGCTCTGACAATTAGAAATAATAAATAATCTAATTCAACTTATTTTAATATAAAAATTAAAATCATTTTACGCTGGTTATTTCTGTCTAAAAAAAGTATTTAGTGAATTTCAATCAATGTTATTGAAAATCAGTTGAACTGAGACCGAATTTTAAGAATTTGAGCCACGGCTTAAATTTGAGACGCGGCTCAAATACGGTTTGTTCCACTTAAAATTGTATTCAATGTTTCAAGATTTAAGGCGGCGCTCAATTGAAACCGGTTTTTCGCGGATTTAAGACGCGGCTCAAATTCATTCAATTTGGACTCAGAGTTGTTTACAATACTGATTACTGACCTAGCTTGTACTTACAACAAGAGTCTCCTTAAAGGGACTGTAAAGGAAAAATGGAAGGGGGTATAGGCTGAAACCTGAGAATCCCAGGAGTCATGCGATACATATAAGAAAAAAAAGTTTCCTCCTAAGTCTAGGTATTTAAAGGGAGTGACCGGCTATGTAAGGTAGTTGAACTGAGGACGCAATGCTGTGGAAAACTTATTTAGGATTCATTTGAGACATATTTCACTTTTTAAAAGTCTGTAAATCCTGAGTTTGAGTGCAAATTTGGGGGTGGATACGCTTTCAGAATTAGTTTTTTTTAAAAATCTACTGGGGATTGCCGCAAGGCAAGAAACATCATGTATAGTAAAATTCTGAAATATGTTTTAATTTGAAGTTGATTCTTTAATTATGTTTATATATATGTTTATCTATATAATAAAACAAGACATTTGTATATATATATGTTGCTTATAGCCGGCCAAACGGCTGGACCGATTGGGCTGATATTTCTTGTGGACACTCATGGGTGGCTAGGGAGTGTGATAGGCTAAAATAGAATTGAAATATTTCTTTTCAAATTTTTTTTAAAAATTTTTTTGCCACGGGCCAATACATGTTCCCTGGGCCAATTTTTTTTGTGGAAACTCATGGGTAGTCTGGGGGTGATATAGGCTAAAGAAAATTCGAATTTTTTTTCTTACATTTTTTTCATTAAAAAAAATTTATTTTTTAATTTTTTTCGAAAGAATTCATCAAATGTCGTATTCTTTACTTTCTGATAATGGAATGTTTCAGATATTTACTTTTTTAATTAAATGATTATATGGAGTTTTTAAAACTGTTCCCGCATATTCATGGCTATTTATTTATTTTCGCAAATAGTGAGATTTACGAAATAGTAATTAGTATGAAACCCATTGAAAATTGTCAAGACGACATTTAATAAATTCTTTCGATGTATGGCTCATTTAGGGTTTAACTGATTTATATATTATATAATGCATATACTTTATTTCATTAATTGTATTAATGATTGATTAATTGATTAATTGATTAATTAATTGATTGATTGATTGCTTCAATGTAACCTGTAAGAAGAAGAGACCAAAGGTTCCTGTTCTCCTCCTTATCTCTTGTCTGAATACCAACACACAGAAGGAAGGAGAAAATGAGAAGATGATCTTGGAACACAGACCAACTAAACAAACTGAGATCTAAGAGAATGTTCATTTAAATAAAATGGGAGGATGCCAATTTTTTTCTAGTTTTAACCATAAACCTCATTTTTTTGTTTAATTTTTTGTTTTTAAGAGGTAGGAATTTTAAAAATCAGCAAAACAAATCTTAACTTTTATTCAGAAATCTAAGGATTCTAATTTCTGTTGTTAATAATATTTATTTTATTTTCTGCTTTCCGAATTAAGATTTTATGTCTTACCTTAGTTTTTTGTACATTTTTGCTGTTAATTTTGTTTTGAGATCACTTCAAATATTCCCATGTTTATCACAATTTTTATTTAAAAATTTATTTAGTCTTTGCTTAAAGTTCTCTGGCTAGACATGGTAGTTGAGCTAAGAATGCTGTATTGTAAAGATTTTTTTGGGATTCATTTAAGACCTATCAGACGTTTTTACAGTTCACATTTGTTCGACAAGAGCTCAAATTCAATCTTTTCATAAACAACTAATTAGTTTACTGTAGAATTTTGTTACATTTTTCGTGGTCGTTATTGAATAGGGTTAAAATCTGATTTAAAAATAATCCCAACAAAATAGACAATTTATGAGGATTTTAAAGGATGCTTTTGCATGCTCTTGCTGAACATAAATGCACCATAAAAAGGTCTGATAGGACTCCAATAAATCCTAAAAAATGTTCTTTACAAAACTGCATTCTCAGCTCAATTATCATGTAAATTATAGTTTTGTTTTAAAGCTGATTTCGTTTTGGAAGTTAGAGTTCTCAAAGCATTATATATTTTTAAAAAATGGCAGGTTTTAATAAACTGGGATTCCTTATTCGTTGTTGTATGTTTTCATTTTTCTTTGAGTCTAAGATAGACCTGACATCGTGTAATAGACTTAAAATAACATTAAAATTTGTTTTTTGTTTGTTTGTTTTAGGGTTGTGCAGTGGGTTTCGAAGAAAAGGGTAAAGAACTTAAATCTATTTATTTATAATAAAGCTTATTTATATGAATATATTTGTTTATTATAGCTGGCCAAACGGCTGGATCAAATTGGATGACATTTAGGAAACCCATGGGTACCTCAAATTTGACAAAGGTAGGAATTTTTAAATTTCACAGGCAACGCTAGGTTCTTCAGTTAACATTATAATTTGAAACCAAGCGTGTGGGAGTAACTATAACTACGAAAAACAATATAAACCAGGGCAACACCGGGTACTCCAGCTGGTATATAATAAAAGAAGAAGAAAAAACTTAGGCTGAGAGAAAACTAAAGAATAATTCTTCAATAAAATAGATTCACTCATAATTCCTTTACTTCACTTTCATATCAGAAGACATTTATAGAATTGGGAGACAATTTGTCGGAGGGGGAATAAGTGGAGAAAATAAAATAAAATAAAATAAATAAAAAGCATACCCATACCATATACCATATACCATACCCATACCCAATAGAGTTTAAAAAGATTCAATTGTTGGTGTAGTTTCAAGGGATACATCTCCCGAGTTCCCCCATCAAAATTTAAGGCAAATTGGTCCAGGGGTTTCTGAGTTATGATCTGACAAATAAACAGAAAGACAGACGTACTAAGAGAGATAACAACTTTATATGGAAAGATATTGGAGCAAACAAACAGTAAAAAAACCCGAACATGAAAAAAGTCTAAATTGACAAACTTACAGCATGATTTTATTTTAATTTACAATGTTTTCCTTATGTAACTCACTGTTGCATCCCAATGGAAATAAAAAATGTCAATGTTGTTTTTTTCCTTTGAAAAAACCCCCAAAATTGGTCGCTTTTAAATAATATATTATTGAATGAGCACAAAAGGCTCTTATTTTTATCTCTTTATAGATAAAACAGACAAAACATGCCACTTAGTTTCTTTGTATTTTCATAGTTTTTTTTATAATAATATCCAAACATTTTCCAGGGGAGGGGGAATTTTTTTCCAGAAGGGGCGACATCTCCAAATATTTTCCATAATGGGGGGCCGGACATCTCCAAATTATTTTCCAGGGAGGGGGGGAGTTCCTAGACCCTAATATTAATCTTTATCGCCTGTGTATTGCTAAATCTATTCCTGTGGTATATTTTGATGAACCATGGTAGAGAGAACTTGTACATAGGATCTATATTCTCTAATTCAACAATACAGAAAAACAAGATGGAGGCGTGCTCAGCTACAGGTCTGTATCCATTCCTTGTCTAAATAAACGGTATAAATATACAGGGTGAGGCGAAAAAAATCGGGAATTTCAATGTTTTGGACACAATTTTCCAATTTTTTGTTTTGTTCAGAATTTACCAATTTAGGCATTAAAAACTAAAATGTGATAAAAAAATTTAAAATATTTTTGAAGCATTAAAAAAGATATCTTCAAACATTTTTTTTTAAATGAAATTTTTTGAAAATTGTTGGGAAAATGATTTTCCTAACAAAATTTAATTAGATTTAAAAAAAACCACGTTATCAAATTATGATTTCAAAAATGCAAATAATTTGCTTACATTTATATATATATATATATTTCATTAAATTTTTTTAGTTATGATATAGAGTAGTTACGTTCATATGAATATGTAACACACTATATTTAGTCGCCACTGTATGTGTAAATAATACGAGAAGAGGGAAGGTTTGTAAATATAAAGTTGTAATAAATATCGTGTAATCGTAAATATTGTGTAACACCATATTTGCAAAACTGAACTACCTTGTACATTATTATTTAACAATGCTGTAAATAACTATGTAACATCAATAAACACGTATTGTGATTAGCTTAACTACCTTTATATCTATCCGCGCTAATCTTGTAAATACGTACATTAAACTGAAACTACGATATATATATATATATATATATATATATATATATATATATATATTGACGTAAAGCTTGTAATTACATCGATTAACATTAACTTGTAACACAGATATATAAATACAAATCAGTTAATATAGAGACTCCGTACTGAATACTGTGAGAGATTAATTGTTCCTTGTTTTAACAAACAAGTTAAGGATTGCGCCCATTGGTTAGGCATTAATAGCTACGAGCTAGTGTCTGGTTGACATCAATAGCTTACAAGATCGTGCACATTGGTTTGGCATTGTTAGTTACGAGCTAGTATCTGGATGAAATCAATAGCTTACAAGATTGTGCCCATTTATTTGGCATTGATAGTTACGAGCTAGTGTCTGGTTTACATGAATAGCTTACAAGATCGTGCCCATTGGTTTGGCATTGTTAGTTATGTGCTAGTGGCCAGTTGACATTGATAACATACAAGATTGTGCCCATTGGTTTGGCTTTGATAGTTAAAGATATTGTTGACATTGATTGCTGACGAGATTGTGTGCAACGTTTATACATTGATAGCAAAGTGAAACTGAGTTGTACCTGGATAGATACTAATTTGAGAAACCCTTATGGAGTAGGGCATTTACTACAAAGTCATTTAGAAACAAATATGAATTTTGGTTTAATAAGAATTAATATTTTATTTATGTTTTCATTTATTTAATGGAGGAATTAATGAAAGAACTTTATATTAATAAAATACACCAGAACAGGGAATTCTAAGTTTAAGTTTTTCCTTTTTATGAATTATTTCATTTTATTAAACAAAATTTTGGTTCCTTTCAAACTGTTTTGCTGGTCTATTCTATGAAATATAAAAACAAATGTTGAAAAAATCTTTTAAAAGTAGAGAAAATAGTTTATCCTGATTTACTGATTTTGTTTAAATTCTTACTGTAACTCCTCCAGTTCTAATTTATTTAGTTTCTGTGGGTACAAACTCAAATATATTTTTCTTCTCGTCGTCTTCGATAATTTTTAAATAAGAAAAATTATTTTTTTTTAAGTTTTAAGAGACGCTTCCAACTAAAAGATAGAATGAAGAGGAATTTAATTTCCACAAAAAGGATTATTCACAAAGAATGATACTTAAGAGACGATTTACGAATTTAAGATATCTGTCTTCCTTATTTTTGGTTACTTGCAAATTACAACTAGCTGTAAACGATAAAACTATAGTATTGTCCTTTCGTTTTTCCTTTTCAAAAACTTCATTCGTTTTATTTGGTGGGTACCCTGTACAGTACCCTGTACAGTACCCTGTACTTTTTACTGTAATGTTTTGAGTCTCCGTCTGCTATTTTGCCCCAATTCTGTGAAAAATCTGATAGATCTAATTTGTATAATAGAATCTTTTCTTTCTGTATTTATAGCGAGGGAATTGGGTATACTAGGTAGTACCCTGTATGTAAACTGTATCCTATGTATCCTGCCTGTCCTATAAATAACATCAATACTATAAACTTATGAATAATATTCAAACAAACTAAACTTCTTTATCCTTTTCTCAAGAGAGAGAGCAGGGATGGTGAGACTGCGAGAAAAGAGCCTTTTATTCTATGTTTGAAAAAAGTCAAAGAATAATAAAAACAATTAAGATGAAATTTTACTACAGGGTGTCCCATGAAACATAACAGGTGGTTCCATATACTGTATTAAATGTTAAAGACTTTTTGCAGTTTAACAAAAATATTTACCTATTTAATTAGCTTTGATATAACTGCAATTAAATATATTGTTTATCATTTTATTTAGTATCAAATAAATTATTATGGAAGAAGACATTTTAAACTACTTACCAACTGTCATGTTTCGTGGGACACCTTGTAGGTGGAGTTAAGTTTATTCTAATAAGAATTTCTATTTCCTGTTTTCTGGTAAATATGAACTAAGCTGAACACTTGGTTCGTATTTTCCAACGCGGCAACTTTCCAAGCATGTCCTAGCCGCAGCGCTCGGCCACCTTCGTAGTTTGCAGCGCCTGAGTAGACCTAACCTTACCTTCGGGAAGTTGACACTTGGAAAATTGCAAATTCAAAATTTTTAAATCTTTGTGACATTTCCAATCGATTGAAACCAATAAGAGGTTTGTAGCACTAAAATAAAGGAAGTATTGATCGTTTGAAGTTTGCCATTTTGGCTGGGTTGAAAATCCAGGTACAAAACTGTATCCTTCTTGGTAAATCTTCATATTTAAGTTCCTCTCTTCTGATTGGCCAATATGGGTGATATTTCATATCAGTTGATATCCTTGACCAGCTGGACTTGCCTAACATCAAAGAGTTTCTCATTACAGAACTACAGGAGTATTTCTAGCTCCAATGTGTTTGGCAGCATCTCTGTTCAGTGTTCATTACTGCAGCTACCCTGACAACATTTCTAGTAGTTCGGACATGTCGGGATCTTCCACTGGATAAATTTTCAGGACTTGTCTTCCTATTCACATTGAGTGCTGTCCCTTACTTTTTTACCTCTTTAAAAACTATTCTTTCATGATAAAAAGCAGGATGGCAATTGAATTGAGAAATTTGTTCCCAAAACAAAGTCCATGATAAGACCAGATCCTTTCTATGTGGTACTCAAAAGCAAGGTATTATTACTTTCCTGCGTTGCAAACTGAGATCTTGCCATTATTCAACAATAACTGCATTTTAAAGATTTATTTAAAAGATTTGCATGTATTTCAGACCCTAATCAAATTTCATAATAACATCCTCTCATTGGTATTAATCAATAGGGAAAGATTTCAAAAATGTACACTTTTTTAAAAATTGAACCAGTGCTTCAATGTCTTCAAGATAATTTTTTGGGACACCCTGTATGTATACTATTCTAATATACTAGGCTTTTAGGGCGCATATCTTTTATTTTAATTTTTAATTTTATGGTTCTTTCTGTGAGCCTCTTCTTTTTGTACAATATATAAGACAATAGCAGACAAATTCACGGATTTAATAATGTTTTTTTTTAACAAAAATCAAAGAGTTTTAACACAATCTTTTGTAATTTTGAGCTTTCATAAACCTTCCCTGGATTCATGTGAGGTCCCACATAAAATTTTGGACCCGACCAGTTTAGCCGTTTTGACGTTTATTGGAGACAAACGGACAGACATACCAGACAGACAGACACCCAAACAGAAAAGCAAAGTATGAATTTAGAAGAGGATAAACTTACCTTATCAATCTCCTCCTCTGTACTGGTTGCTATCTCCTGTTTCGCAGCAATTTCTTCTGATAGCACCTGATTCAAATAAATATATCGTTTGTCTACTAATAGAAATAAAACTGAATAACTTCTGATAGTCAATGAAGTCTCATCCTTTGCGGGTAAACCCCTGATCATTTGTACTATATAATATATCTACATGTTTGAATATCCTCAATAATATATCTACATGTTTAAATATCCTCAATAATATTTCTACATGTTTAAATATCCTCAAACAGAAAGGATTTGTAGATTCTTTAGATAAAGCTATTTTAAGAAAATATTTTTAAAGACATTATTTGAAGAAATTGATTAAGTAAAGTTATCGACAATTTCTGAACATATATGTGGTAGGAAATTTTGCAATACAGTAGGGTGCAGTATTTTTTCCTCTGCCTTTGGATAATGTCAGGCGATATTGAAGTTTTTGATTTTTTAGTATTTTGAGAGAAATAAATTATACAAATGCTTGCTAAAAATGAAATACCTTAGATGATGAGAGTATCTGTATAGCTGTCTCATCCTCCAGTATATTCCCCTGAGAGCTGGAGAGTACAGCAAGAATCTTGTCCTCAATCTGCTTCAGCTGCTGGTTGTTGCTGGCTCCCTCCAGGATCAAGTTGTTCTTCTTCTCTTCAAGCTCAGGTTTCTCCTCTGCAGCCAGGATACCCAGTAGCTGGTCCTAGGTAGGTTCGTAGGTATGTAGCAAAAATCGTGGAAAAATGATATTCCGTAAACTTGCAGTATGTTGTTCATTATTTATGATTTAATGTTGTAAACTTAGACATACTGACATAATTCATTGAAACTGCATTTCAATTGAATATTTAGCATGATTAGCTTAAATAATGCGACATACTTAAATAAAGCTATAAACATGTGTGGAGATAGCTTAACTGCGTTATATCTATTCTCTTTAATCTTATAAATATGAACATTAAACTTTAAATAAGTAATAGGATTGTCTTAATCATGTAATATAGATAACATTGTAGGAATTGTAACTATGTCAATTCCTGTTAACTTGCAGAATAAGATATCAAATAAAGCTTAGTTTATAGAGATACTCCGTACTGTTTACTGCATAAGAGTAAACCTAAAATCCTGTCTTTCTATTAAGGTGGGATTGTCTCCTTTAATTTGGGATCAATATATAGCTTGTTGTATAGCTAGGCTTGTGTTCCTGTGTGGCATTTAGAGCATTGGATCGCCCCCATCATTTGGGATCGGTAGGTAGGTGGGTAAGTAGGTAGGTAGGTAGGTAGGTTGTGGTAGATAAGTAGATAGGTAGGTAGATGGGTAGAAGGGTGGATAGGTAGGTAGGCAAGTAGGTAGTTAGGTAGGTAGGTAGGTAGGAAGTAAGGAAGGAAGGTAGGTAGGTAGGTAGGTAGATAGGTGGGTAGGTAGGTAGATAGGTGGGTAGGTAGATAGGTATGTAGGTAAATAGATAGGTGGATAGGTAGGTTGGTAGGTAGGTTGGTGGATAGCTAAGTAGGTAAAAAGGTAGGTATGTAGATAGGAAAGTGGTAGATGGGAAGGTAGATGGATAATTAGGTAGGTATGTATGTAAATAGGTAGGTATGGATAGGTTGATAGATTTATGGATAGGTTGGTGGATAAGGATAGGTAGGTGCATAGGTAGAAAGGTGGCTGGTTAGGGTAGATAAATAGGAAATTAGTTAGCTGGGTAGGAAGATGAGATGAATAGGTGGTTAAAAGGGTGATTGGGTAGGTAGTTAAGTAGATATTTAGGTATGAGAGTAGCATTAAACTTTGTTTAAAGGGACTATGGAGGTAACATTGGGCAAAGGTTTACAGGATAATCATTGTAAATCGGACCAACCACTATTGGGTCACTTGAAATTACATCTACAGTCCCTTTATACAAGAAATGTAAAAATTTACCTGTAATCCTTGAGGAGTAATCATAAAGTTGATCATCGTAACCTTAACAGCAATCTCGGGAGGAAACCTTGGGTTTCTAGTTTCTGTTGTTATATACAATCTAACCAACACAAACACTGTAAACTAATATCAAGAAGTAGAATTGGCAATTTAACAAATTAGAACTTTATTTCCAGGTTAATAATGTTGTCACTGGGGGACACAGTACTCACACCAATAAGGTAGAATCTAATTTAATCTTATGAAGAGAAAGAGTTACATGGCAGATTATTCCCTATCAAAACCCACTATTTAGTCTGGCAATGTACTGCAGATTACTAAAGCTATGTTTAGGTATGATTCACAATACCCAGTGGTACCTGTAATGTAAAACATGTATCTAAGTATCAATGAGAAAGATATCGTCATTTTTCTAACTTTAAGGATATCAATTTGTTAATTTTATTTTCTTCAAGTCACTCAAATAGAGGAATTGTAAATGGAACATTATCAGTTTTAAGATAGAAAAACAAGGATAATTAAAGGCAGTGACTGGCAATGTATGGTAGTTGTACTGAGAATGTAGTATTGTGGAGAAATTTGTTAGGATTCATTTGAGACATATAAAACGTTTTAATGATGTATAATTACTGAGTTTGAGCACATAGTTGAAGTTCAAAATCATCCATTTGGGTTGTTACTTTTTGAGAATCAATTTTATTTAATCATTAAATAGGGACAACAAAAAAACCTAAAAGACCTTCTAACGTAAACTAATTAGATGTGAAGGAACATATTTCTTAATTGAAATTTGTTCAATAAATCAATGTTAGAATCAATTATTTCTTCTTCATAATGTTATTGAATTTCTTGATGTTTATGACATTGTTTGCAGATGTCTTCAGATTCTCTTTTGCTCAGACCCAAGAGGTTAGGGTAAGTTGTGAATTGTAAATGTAACTTTATAAATGGAGGGTCACTTGAAGATAGGTTGACAGGGAAAGTAAAATCTGCCTGAACATTATGATAATATGATATATTATATAAATTAGTTTTAAAAGAGATCAGTTTAAATTACTGCATTATCTTTCTGAAGACTTTTACCTTGCTAAACTTGATACTTAATATAAAATATTCAAAGAACTAAATAGCCCATTCCAGTAAGCTGTTAGAAAATCCCTCCATTCTATCCATAATAATAATGTGTGCGCTAAACTCTGAGTGTAATAGACCATTTTCCTTCTTTATTAATCTTCACAGTTCAAACTAGGTGTTTACACTACTACACTTTTCAAAACCAAGTTTTGAGAACAAAGGCTGTTTTCAATCAAGTTTTAATTAGATATCAATGGTTTTTTATGCAAAATCAATTGCCCATTTATTGCTTCAGAAACAATCGAGAAATCATTAGAATTAAACTCTTTTTTTAAAACTTTTCAATTACTTTAAACCCTTTATCTGTAGATCCTAAAGCATAAATGTAATATTTGTAACTTTTAATGAAAGATAAATCCCATATTCTTTTCCATGAAAGATAGATCCTGCATTCTTTTCCATGAAAGATAGATCTCGTATTCTTTTCCATGAAAGATAGATCCTGCATTCTTTTCCATGAAAAATAGATCCCATATTCTTTTCCATGAAAGATATATCCCGTATTCTTTTCCATGAAAGATAGATCCTGCATTATTTTCCATGAAAGATAGATCCCATATTCTTTTCCATGAAAGATAGATCCCGTATTCTTTTCCATGAAAGATAGATCCCATATTCTTTCCCATGAAAGACAGATCCCGTATTCTTTTCCATGAAAGATAGATCCCGTATTCTTTCCCATGAAAGATAGATCCTGTATTCTTTCCCATGAAAGACAGATCCCGTATTCTTTTCCATAAAAGATAGATCCGGTATTCTTTCCCATGAAAGATAGATCCCGTATTCTTTCCCATGAAAGACAGATCCCGTATTCTTTTCCATGAAAGATAGATCGGGTATTCTTTCCCATGAAAGACAGATCCCATATTCTTTTCCATGAAAGATAGATCCCATATTCTTTCCCATGAAAGACAGATCCTGTATTCTTTTCCATGAAAGATAGATCCCGTATTCTTTCCCATGAAAGACAAATCCCGTATTCTTTTCCATGAAAGAAAGATCCTGTATTCTTTCCCATGAAAAAGATAGATCCTGTATTCTTTTCCATGAAAGACAATTCCAGTATTTTTATCCATGGATGATGATTACAAGTTATGCATTTACTCAATTAGAGTTTTCAATATTTTCCAGAATAATTTCAGCTGATACAGGTCAAAGAAAAAAACCTTTCCTTATTTCTAATAAAAACAAAATATTTTTTATTAAAACAACAGAATTTGTTATTGCAAACTCAGAATTCTACTAAATCAAATAGCGGAACTTTACAACTCAACTGGTTTACAGCATATATGGTCAAACAAAATTAGAGATAGAAGCGAGTAATTATTTTATTGAAAGACTTTTGGTTAAGGAAGATAGGACTTGTTTTCACAATTCTTTGTTGAAAAAGGTCCTGTAAACTCTGATATTAATTGACTCAAATTAAGATAACAATTGTATCTCAGCTCTTCATATAGTAAAGCTGTTTTGTAATTAGAGCACAATTACTGTTAGTAGTTTGTTCTTAGTATTTATTACATTATTGCCCCCCCCCCCTCCTCTCCCATCTGTTAACATATACTTAGATAAATGAGTATTTCTTTAATATCCAGGGGGCTACTTAAAGCCATAAACCATAAAAGTTCAAATTGTTGGACTAAACATTCAAAATTGAACAGAAGCTTATTAATATTTGGGTATTCTGCTCAAGTTGCAAGATCTTAAAATAGTTAAGACTGCAAGTTTAAAATATGTGTCAGTGCTGCAGTTAAGAATATAAATACAAAGAATAAAAGATGCTGTAAGCTGTAAGTATTCTATGGAGTAATCTGAGTAGTAAATGTAGAACAGGAATTTATTAGAGCATTATGACTTTATGCCATCCTATATACACAAACTAACTTCTTCCACATTTTTTCAGGAATTTTAAACTTTACATCAATGTTTTTTATATATATAAATTCCATGTAAAAATTGAAAGTCAAATAAATTAACCAGGCTATTGAAAAGTACTCCTTTAAATTCAAACTATGCATTAACATGTGCCTCAACGCATTGAAATCTTCATAATAACAATTTTATATTGTCCTTTTAATTGTCTTAAACATAATGAATTTGCATAAATTCCAATAATTATAACAATTATTCAGTTTTCTTCCTAAAAGGAAAATAAAAGTAAAAGCTTTAAATAGGGTTGTTAATCATTTTTGAAAACGATTGTTAAACAATCATTTTTTTTTTTCAATCGTTTTCAAAAACAAGCATTTTGTTTTCGAAAAAAGACATAATCATAAAACTACTACCAACTATAAAATCATAAAACTACCACCCACAAAAAAATCATAGAACTTCCACCAGCTATAAAATCATTGATGTACCATCATCTATAAAATCATTAAATTATTACTATCTATAAAATCATAAAACTACCACCAGCTATAAAATCATTGATGTACCATCATCTATAAAATCATTAAATTATTACTATCTATAAAATCATAACCAGCTATAAAATCATTGATGTACCATCATCTATAAAATCATTAAATTATTACTATCTATAAAATCATAAAACTACCACCAGCTATAAAATCATAAAACAACTACTAGATATAAAATGTTTTATATTTCCCTTGAAATGAAAATATCCCGGAAGTTTATACCTCGGTAGTCTTTTGGCCAACATTTTCCCTTAATTGAGTGTTTCAGGCTGGGCTTTCTTTATCTTGCAGCTACATCTGTCTAGTACTGTGTAATTAATAATTCAGAGTTGGTGGATTTATCATCGTTCTTCTACTCATTATTTCAGAGCAGGGTTTATCCTCTTCAACATGGAAATGTATTTTTATAAAACAAGAGAGCTATATGCATGAAGAGAGAATGATAGTAATACACACATATATACACCAAACATGAATAAATTAACCAAACATACACCCTACTACGATGCTTAAAAAACATCAAATATACATTAACCATACATGTTTCATTCGAGCAATCTAGTTTGAAATACATGATTATTATTTTTGTTAAAGTTAATTCTACAATGAATAAAGACTTTATAAAAATGTTATAGTTTAGAAAATGTAAAATTTTGAAGCTTGCAATCATAAAGTAATGATGTAAATGATGACTCCCCATCTATTTTAGTTTTCTATATCTCAAGTAAGGTTTTCTAACCTGCTCGATTTATCTTCTCTTTCCTGTTTACATCAAACACTCAGTTCAGATCTTAGAAACCTTCATATTTTATACAAACCTTAATAAAACATATCTATATAAAAGAATTTGTTATCTTTGATGATAGTTAAAGTTATCAGTTATCATACACAATCGTTCCATAATTAGCTATAATCATAATTAAAAGTATGAAAAATGAAAAAAACTAAATCCATCCTAATCCCTGCAAAATGGACCAAGAACAGTTTTTAAAAATAAAAAAAAGCGAAGCCCAAAAAGTAAATTATACATCAGAGTTTCATGTTTAGGTTCCTTAAGCATGGAACTCAAGGAACCAGCCAAAAGAATACCTGAACAAAATTTGCACTTATATGGTTTCAAACATGAAGAATCAGAAGTTTAAAATATAGTTTAATTCTTTATAACTGTTATGGAATGTATATGTGAGTTGGGGTTTGGGTGTTTGTAAATGTGTGTTTGTTTGTTAAGATCAGTTTATTGCTGGTAGAGCAGCCAACTTGCTCAAGGATAAAAACACCCAGATATTGATAAATATATAGAATAGATAGATATAGAAAGATCAAATAAAAACAGGAGAAATGTTTTTGTTTTACAAGACGTGACTTGTTAGATTTCTTCTTTACATTCAAGAATATGCAAATTGAGTAAAATACAAGGAATATTCAACATCTAACTTGGTGCAAAGTAAAAGAACTAAAACTTAATTTCTACAGAAGTAATTTACCAAGAAATGTAATTTTATTATTTGCATGACATGGTTTAACTTCTTCTCTTTAGCTTGAACTGGCACACTAGAGAATCTAAAGCTGTGCAGTTCAGCATTTTCAATGAATCAGGTCCCTACATGTCTCATTCACCTTTTGTAAAGCAAACAACCAATTCCTGATAACCCTATTTTAACAATTGACTTTATTCATTTTCTTGTTTTTTTAATATAAATTTAAAATTTAATCTAACTAGGATTAGTTGAGAGTAAATTGTTTTTTTCTTTGTTTTTATTTGATGTGACATTGCTAGGAGAATCATTAAATTATAAATATGTAGATCTTTAAATAATTCCAAAAATATTAATCAAGAAATCAAAACTTTTGGATCGAATCTGTTCAACTGTGCTTTGGCGATTCCCTCGGCCTCTGTTATTTTAATTCTAGTATATTTGAAACATTTCAAAATAAACTCTTGTAGCAAGTTTAACTAAAGTAAATTTTATGTACAGTGGTAGGCGATTATATCAATACAATGAAGACACCTTTATTATTTAAGTTTTAATTGTTTACAAGCTTTTTCAAATTACAAGATCACAAGTAATCAAAGAAAAGCTCATGAAATTGACATGTTCTCTTAACTTTTTTGTTTATATATATACTTTTGAATAGCTTTATATTAATCAAAATTAAAATCAAAATTGTTTTTATTGTAGTGATATAATCGCATACCACTGTACAGCTATTCAGAAGAACATAAATGTATTCAGATAAATTTGTTTTTAAGGTGCTTGTGCGTAAAATAAAAACTAGAGGAGTTACTATAGATAAAGTCGTACATTCAAAATTTAATTAATTTGATCTTCTCCTTTTGTTTGCAGTGTTAGTAATAATGGGCTTTCCAAACATTACCAGGACTTCTTCCATTCAAAAGTTTACACTTTTGATCATAGGTTGCGATGATGCTGCTAAGCAATATTTCATCCAGGTTTTCCATTTGCATAAAAAATGGGGTGACCAGGGGGTAATTGCTAGGAAATCAGTTATTGTGTCTGCATCCAAACTACACCCCTGACAATTCCAGTTTATCAATAACAGTACAAGATTATCGGTTCGATACATGTCATCCACATATCATTTAAATCTTTAAAATTTCATGATAAAATTGGACTAAGTGTAAATTACATTGTTGTACTAAAGTTAGTAAGGAAGGGGGAAATGAGAGGAAACTGGGAACAAGGAAGAGGGGGGGTTGAGGAAGGGTGGATGGAGAATGGGGGGAGAGGAAGTGTTTTGGAACAATTTATTTAAACCCGAACATTGCAAATATGAAGATTATCTAATAAAATTGTGTAAATTTTGTAAAGTTTGTTCCATATTTGTTTGTTCTACAGTGTTGTTGTTGTATTCCTGAATTTAGAATTATATTCTACAATGTTCTCCCCAATCTGGATACATTCACTACCTCCACTAGAGAACGTTTGTCGGGATAGAACAGAGCTTAATCCTGGGATAATAAACAATTATTCATAAATGTACAGTTCAGATAGGACAGATAACGGAGACAACAGATAGGATAGATAGGACAGATAGGATAGATAGGATAGATAGGATAGATAGGATAGATAGGATAGATAGAATAGACAAGACAGAAGGAAGATACGATTGATAGAATAGATAGGACTAACACAGATTTCAGACAGTTTTGAAAATAGTAGATGAGTTTTCATGTTTAGTCTGACTTTGAAGTGTCCAACCGTAGACAATCAGTTTTTTCACCATACAAGAAGAAAACAACTATTATTTGCTGACAAATTCCGATTTTTAATCACGCAACCTCATCCAGAAACCTCAACGAGGATCAGGTCTTCTCTCTCTTTCCTCATTCAACCCCCCTCCCCTCTATACAATGAGAATACTTTCTATTGTGAATATGCGCTATTATTATATTTCTGCAGGACAATGTTGTATGCATGTACTACTACTATACATGTCTGATTAAATGATACAGCCCATCAGTTCTATCAGTTATTAAGGATATTATGTATTATGATAATGCATTGGCTCTTGTCTGCAACCTGCTTTATTCTTATTTTTTTGCATTATTCTTATTTTAGATATATATCCTCACTAGTTACTTCCAGTGGTGTACACCGTACAGTCCGGTCCTGCAGTTTACAGTCCTGTCCTGTGTTGTACAGTCCTGTCCTGAGGTATACAGTCCTGTCCTGTGGTGTACAGTCCTGTTCTGTTATGCACAGTCCTGTCCTGTGTTGTACAGTCCTGTCCTGTAGCTTACAGTCCTGTCCTGCTGTGCACAGTCCTGTCCTGTGTTGTACAGTCCTGTCCTGAGGTATACAGTTCTGTCCTGTGGTGTACAGTCCTGTCCTGTTATGCACAGTCCTGTCCTGTGTTGTACAATCCGGTCCTGCAGTTTAAAGTCCTGTCCTGTTGTGCACAGTCCTGTCCTGTGTTTTACAGTCCTGTCCTGAGGTATACAGTCCTGTCCTGTGGTGTACAGTCCTGTTCTGTTATGTACAGTTCTGCCCTGTGGTGTACAGTCCTGTTCTGTTATGTACAGTTCTGTCCTATGGAACTGTCCTGAGGTATACAGTTCTGTCCTGTGGAATACAGTCCTGTCCTTGTAATGCACAGTTTTGTCCTTTGGTGTACAGTCCTTTCCTGTTATGTACAGTTCTGTCCTTTGGTGTACAGTCTTGTCCTGTGATGTTCAGTACTGTCCTTTTATGTACAGTTCTGCCCTGTTATAAACAGTTATGTCCTGTTATGAACAGTTCTGTCCTGTTATGAACAGTTCTGTCCTGTTATGAACAGTTCTGTCCGGTTATATAAATTTCTGTCCTGTGGTCTACAGTCCTGTCCTATTATGTACAGTTATATCATGTGTTGTACAGTTCTGTCCTCTGGTGTACAGGCCTGTCCTGTGGTTTACAGTCCTGTCCTGTTATGTACAGTCCTGTACTGTGTTGTACAGCCCTGTCCTGTTATGCACAGTTCCGTCCTGTGGTGTACAGTTCTGTCCTGTGGTGTACAGTAAACGTTATAAGAATACTAAAACTATAATATTTTCTTGTAAAGAATACTAGGTAAATGTTTATCTAGGGAAGTGGGCTATCATCAGAAAGCAAAATGTCTCCGAGTATTCAAGTTCTTTATCTAGGATATCATAATATGCCTTCATCAGACAAATTGTTATGATCTGTTCTAAGGAACCATGAGCACTTGCCATAAATTCTAATTTTCTAATTCTTATATTTTGGCATTCTGATGTCGTAGGCCTTTGATATTTCAAACAGTGAAATAAACTATTCTTAGTGTTAAATATTAAAGGTTTTACAGCCTCACAATGTTAAGATTTAGTGATTAGAAAAATAAAGTTTGTAGCGATTGCTAAGTTTCTTAAATTAAAGACTAACAAGTGATTTCTAAAAATAATTGTTGTACATAAACCTGTTTTAAACAAGGATCCTTAAAATCGGCTCATCGCATTTTTCATGTTTATCTATTAGAATTGTTAATTGAATTTTTATTTAAAAATGCATAGCTTATCCAAATTAAATTTGGTAAAACTGTTCAGTAAAAAAAAATCAGTTCAAATCAAGGATATATAAAAAAAGAATATTGTATACAAGGAATAAGATTATTCCTACCGAATTGACTGTATGATTCTTTTTATTCAAGGTACAACTACTCTAGTTATCCTAAAGGTAATGATACTACTGATAAATCTCCCCCCCCCTCCTCCTCCCCCTCTCTCTAAGTGAAAACATATAAACTCCAATATACTTATATGAAGAAGATTGATCCCCAATATCTGTAATACCTCCCACAAACAGGAGCATGGAGAAAAAAAAAATTCCTTCAAAACATGGTTCTCAATAATAAAATTAAAAAATGAAAAAAGTCAGATTTTACAGTTTTCCAAGTTGTTGTTTTCTATTTATTTATTATATGGTCCCTTAGGGTGAATATAAACTTAGGTCTGTATATCAGAATATACAAGGATTGTATACCATACATCAGCTCTGATTAAGAAATATGAATAAATCAGAAAAAAGAAAATGGTTCTTCATTTCTTTTTTATTTACATTTTACATGATAAAACTCTTGACCGAAAGTGCGTTAAAGTTCTAGAATGATCATGTCCCAGGCTACACAAAATATGTGTAAGTAGTTGGGGTAAAATTCAGGCCAAAGATCGACCCTGTTAAGTTGAGGCAGTCTTAGAACTGAATACAAAACTTTATATTTTGTCTGGATCCCTGTTTACTGGGTTTGCAGTTATTTTGCATGTTAAAACTATTTTATCCTTTTACGTAATAACCTTTTAAATTAACCGATGCACAATGATACTGTTTAATGCTATTAATGTTTGCAAGCTCTCACATAAATATTAAAGAGGACTTACCAAATTACATCTGCACGACAAAAAATAAGTGCCTAATCCTTATAAAATGTACATGTCGTGGACAACAAGAAAGTATGGATGTTAGAGCGGTAAAATCAAAGCTCAAGGTTTTGCGACACTTCAAAGTGGACCATGTCTTGAAAATGATGCAACATTTCAAAGCAGGCTAAATCTATGTGAATTAGTTAGGAAAATTATTCATGAAATGACAAAATATATTTTCTACAAAACTGCTATTTTTCAGATATTTGTTAATAATCTGCTAATTAATCTGAAAACCTGAATAATATTGAGGTTAACTGTATATATTGAAATCTGTCAGAAAAGTATATATTTTGATAAACATATTTTATTTTGCATCATTTGCATCATTGAGTTAGAACATTAGTTGAATATATTCTGTATCTGTTCCGTATTCAATATATTCAAGATTGGGGTGGGATAGATAGATAGATACATAGATATATAGACAGATAAATAGATAGATGATAAATAGATAGATAGATAAATAGATAGATAGATAGACTATACCAATATATGCTTGGATTTAAAATCTACCCTATATTTAACCCTAGTATACCTAGATCTAAATTCTACCATATATTTAACCCTAGTATACCTGGATCTAAAATCTACCCTATATTTAACCCTAGTATACCTGGATCTAAACTCTACCCTATATTTAACCCTAGTATACCGAAATCTAAAGTTTACCCTATATTTAACCCTAGTATACCTAAATCTAAACTTTACACTATATTTAACCCTAGTATACCTAAATCTAAACTTTACCCTATATTTAACCCTAGTATACCTAAATCTAAACTTTGCCCTATATTTAACCCAAGTATACCTAAAGCTAAACAATATCCTATATTTAACCCTAATATACCTGGATCTAAACTTTGCCCTATATTTAACCCTAGTATACCTGGATCTAAACTTTGCCCTATATTTAACCCTAGTATACCTAGATCTATAAACTCTACCCTATAGTTAACCCTAGTATACCTGGATCTAAACTCTACCCTATATTTAACCCTAGTATACCTTGATCTAAACTCTACCCTATATTTAACCCTAATATACCTGGATCTAAACTCTACCCTATATTTAACCCTAGTATACCTGGATCTAAACTCTACCCTATATTTAACCCTAGTATACCTGGATCTAAACTCTCTCCTACATTCTCTAGAAGACAGGGGTTTCCTTGTTCCACAGCAGTCTGTATACCGGCCAGATATTTAGGATCGGAATACTGAAAAACAATATCATCATAAAGAATAAAGAAGTGCAAACGCAAAATATTAAGCCTTCCACATGCTAGCCTCACAAGACACATTTCTAGATTGTGAGGGGGGGATAGGTTCCACAAGCTGGTTTCCAGTTTTCATGGTTTCCTACTTTCTTGTTTTCTGTTTTTATGGTTTCCTGTTTTTCTGGTTTCCTGGTTTTGTGTTTTACTGTTTTCCTAGTTCCTGTTCTCCTGTCTTCCTGTTTTCTTGGTTTCCTGTACTATAGTCTAACAATGAAGGTTTAAATGCCCCCGTTCTCTTGTTTAAATACAGAACAATATATTTCTCCAGAGCCCGCGATTTAAAAGCTTCGGCTCGAGTCTTAATTCCTTAAATGCAGCTTTAAGACCCAATCTTCGACCCAACTCTGACGACAGCTTTTGTCACGTGATTGACAGCTGCGAGATCTTAGGCTCGACTTAAGGAGTTAGGCCCAATAAAAATAAAACCGACCTTGGTTGGTTTTAGTGAAGAATAAGGCTCAATGTTGGGACTTATTCTCATCAAAACCCGGAATGCACCAATTCCTACAATGAAAATCCGCCAAATACAACATTAAACCGGTTTTATGAACTAAATTCTGTTTAAAAATAGATGCAACTTAAATTCGAAAACCCGAGCCGTAAATAAAACAGCTTAGACCCGAGTCGTATTTTCTTGAATTTTTTAAATCGCCGGCTCAGAATATTCATAAAGATTATAGGCAAAGTTAATTATAACATAGAAAACAAAAGTACTTGTAATGGTTTTTAAATAAAATAAAAAGTATGATATTGCAATTTTATTTAAAAATCTAATAATGATGAGTTATATATTACGAGATTATCAGGGCGCTTCGCACCCATCTTCTATTTCAACTTTTAATTGTTGCTCAATCTTCCAGCGTTTTCTCTTCGATAAAAAAATAAATAATTTTGCAGATTTGAAATTTGTTTTCGTGGATTATCGAAATTTTACGAAAATAAAAAAATTGAGACAATTTATTGTTATTCTGAGCATCCATATGAGGTCCCACAAAAAGTTACGTTTATCGGTTACAAACAAACAAACACCTAGACAAGAAATGTATATATATTTGTTACAAATATTCTAATAAATGCTTGGTAATTACCTTGATTATCACAAGGGAGTTAGATTTCTCCATATTTTTTATCCATTTTGATGCCTGGCCTTGTGGATCAATCATCAAGGACCAACGTCTAACAAATCATTATTTAAGGGAAGAAATATTAATTATAGAAAAAATAGATTATCAAGTACAATAGGTGGCAACAGAGAAATGGACCAATTATATTGTTATACACGACGTCACAAGTGTCAAATATAACAAGGAAAACGAAATTTTCTCAAATTAGTTGACATGTTTTCCAAGATTAATAAAAAAATTGTAAAATCAGAAAATAAAAAACACTTAAAACTGCAATTATTTCATTGTAAGATAAGCACTTTATTCTTAAATTATCACTTTAATTGATAATTTTGTCGGACGCAAAAACTATATGACATGTTGCTATCTATTGTAATAGAATCTATGTGGTCTAATCTACAATTTAAACCAATTAAATCCTATTTTTATAATAAATAAATTATAATATTAGAATTTATAAGCATAAGAGCATTAAGAATTCATTGTATTTTACAATTAATGTTTTAGAGGGTGTCCCAGGAAACATGAGAGTTAAGAGCTGACTTTAAGGTCGGTTTTTATCTTTGAAATAAGTTGATGCATTCATGTGTCAACCTTTTTACACGTTTATCAACCTTTTTACACGTTTGTCAACCTTTTTACACGTTTGTCAACCTTTTTACACGTTTGATTCTTGAAACTATAATCATAAATATCCACTAGTCCTGGTATTTCCAAAATCTTGTCTCCTTTTGTTGTGCTTTCAATATTACCCGAGATGAAAAATTTTGTTTTAATTTTAATTTGTTGAAATAAACTAAAACTGTCGAAATCTAAAGGAAATTCTTCATATTTCCGGTAATTGTGAAAACACATAAAAGACAGAACCCATTTTGGAAATGTTTGGACTAAGGATATCTTGAGATTAATAATTCAAGGATTTTATTTCTAAAATTAGTTTTACGATTGCATTCTACAAATCATTTCAAAGACGATTTTCAGGTCGTTCTTAAATTATAATGTTTCGTAGGACACCCTACATGTTAGAAATTGTGTTCTAGAAGCAGGAAGGATTAATTGTATGTTTTATTTGCAAAAAAGGATTTTAATTGTAACTTAAAAAATATGTTCTTGATGTCAGAAGGATTAATTGTATGTTAGAAATCCTGTTCTAGAAGCAAGAAGGATTTGTTGTATGTTAGAAATTCTGTTCTAGATGCAAGTAGGATTAATTGTATGTTAGAAATCATGTTCTAGAAGCAGGAAGAATTAATTGTATGTCAGAAATCATATTCTAGAGGCAGGAAGGATTAATTGTATGGCAGAAATCATGTTCTAGAAGCAGGAAGAATTAATTGTATGTTAGAAATCATGTTCTAGAAGCAAGAAGAATTAATTGTATGTTAGAAATCATGCTCTAGAAGCAAGAAGAATTAACTGTACGATAGAAATCATGTTCTAGAAGCAAGAAGAATTAATTGTATGTTAGAAATCATGTTTCAGATAAAAAGTTGTCAAATGAAGAAAAAAATAACGTTTCCTGGCATTTGAGACAATTATTCCGTTATCTACAGAGAAATAATCCTGAGTTCGAATAATTTATATCAACAATTCTAAATATTTTAGAAAAAAGTACCGATTCAAACTTTTTTGCACAACAAATTTTTAATACATTTTCAATCTTTCTGAAAATTAGCCGTGGATTTTCCAGAAGTGGTTTGCAGTATCTTTTTTCTTCAGAATTTGGAAACATTTAATCCACCTTCAATTTGGATAAAATGAATTAAATAATATTTTCGCAAATACTGTGCATTTGAAATTAAAAACTTAAAAAGTGAAATATTCATTTTGATTTAGGAATTTTAAATTAAAATTAATATTAGTAGCAATTAACCCAAATTTAATTTAGGGATCCCCTTTCATTTTTTGCGAACACTCCCTTTAGCGTTTTTTTTTTGTTTTTTGAAGGTTCTCATGAAATGAGTTGATAAATATTATTTCCTTTGGTAGGCCAGCAATCTGCCATTGTCTGATCAAAACCTGATCTCCAAGTATACTTGTTAAACTGAACTCCTACACACCACAAACTCAAACAATTCTGTTAAAATACTAGCTTAGGAACCCAGCGTTGCCCAGTCAGTCCCACCGTTTACCCGCCCTTTGTCGTAAATAAGGATTTACGACTCAACTTAAAATCTCCAAACCAAGCAATGAACATTCCCGTGGGTCTCCCAAGTTCCCCAATAAAAATTTGAGGCAAATCGGTCAAGGGATTTCTGAGTTATAATAGGACAAACAAACAAACAGACAGATAGACAGAGATAACAACTTTATATATATATATAATGTTGTAATCTCTGCTTGTCTGGGTTTCTTTTTTTGTTTGTCCGAATATAACTCAGGAAACCCTGAACCGTTTTGCCTTAAATTTTAATTGGGGAACTCGGAAGACCCTCGGAAATGTTCATAGCTTGGTTTTGAGATTCTAAGTAGAGTGGATTGACAATAATTGTGAAAATTTAGTTTCCCTGTAAAATTGTTCAAGTGCGGGTAAACGGCGGGAGTAACTTTTAATAACCTTAGCAGCGCTAGGTTCCCAAATTTACTGATTCCCTGCATTTATTATAGTGCATTTATGCAATGATTTTCTGTTATTCATTGATAGAGCATTTATCCAATTATTTAAAAAGAGCTAAATGGCCATTTTCATTGAATAACATGTTTTACAATTTAATAATTTTGTTAAAATAATCATCTCAGCCGTCATCTGGTCTGCGATTTTTTAATACAATTCTAAATACTCCAAAAATTGTAATATTTGTGTTTTCTTGGCCCTCTTTTTCGATTTACTGTTTATCTATCGATTATTATATTTATCAAATTCTTGAGGTTTCCTGTGAGCAAAGAATCTTCTGTTCTTTACACAGTGTTTGCCAGTCAGATATTATCTCTTTTCTATAACACAGCTTAATTAGTATTAGAGAGTTAAAAAGAGGAGAGGTAGGATGAATAGAGGACTTTAAAAATTGGGAGAGATGGGGTGAGGAAGTTGTGGGGAAAGGGAGATGTGGGGGGGGAGATGTGGTGAGGAAGTTGTGGGGGA